ATTAAATAGTGCAATACATGCATCACTAATTTTATGATGGGAAATTGTATTACTATGTAAGATTTCGTATGATCCTGTAACCTTACGTAAGATTTCACCGTAATGTTTCGTAAATCTTACGATACCGTAACCCTACGTAAGATTTCGACCATAATATTATGTAAAAAATACGACCCGTAACCCTATGTAGAATTTCACTGTAATGTTTCGTAAATCTTACGATACCGTAACCCTACGTAAGATTTCGACCGTAATATTATGTAAAAAATACGACCCGTAACCCTACGTAGGATTTCACTGTAATGTTTTATAAATCTTACAAACTCGTAAACTCGCATAGTTTTACAACGTAATACTCTGAAATATTACGAAAATCGTAAATCTACGGAATATTACGCTGCATTTAAGTTCCAGATGCAGTATACGATTAGTTTTCATCGAAGAACTTGAATGCCTTTGCCTGATTAGACAGACATATACAAATCATTATTATAGTTAATCCATTTTTTCTTTTATCTTTATCTGGTTCTTCTGGGATTCCTTCGAACAATTACAAGGTAGGTTGTTCATTATGCCATATCTTTCTACTGATTCGTGGTGACCTATTACTTGTCTGTAAGCTAACTTTCATAAATATTGGCGATAAGAATCATTCCTACCTCCATAAATCCTGCTAGCATAGTCTGCACCTATCTTCCTCAATTTACTCAAAGAATTCCATGTTGAACTAAAGTGAGATTAATTGGATTTACATTAACTATACCGCTTTTGTTTTTTTGTAAAAAGGTGAATTTTTCTGATATTACTTTCTAAATCCAGGCAAGTAATTCCTTTGCTTGTATTGGATCCTTTTCCATTAAGAGGAAAGGTCGAGGTTCCCTTAATCCTGTTTCTTCTTTAGTTTTAGAGTAACCAGTACAATACCAGGAATATTTAGGGTCATATCAGATTTCATCTGATGCTTCATATTTATCAATACGAAGAGTTGCCAAATCTGCCAGTCGCATACTTAGCATTATTATTACATCAACCAAATCTTTCTTAGAAGGTGATAAGGAGAAATCACATTTCTTGAGTATTTCCTGAACTGGTTCTAAGAAGAAGTATTCAGGCCAATTGACACCTTTAAATTTGTCAAATACAAGCCGTCGTGCCTGAATTTCATTCGATTCAGTAATAATATGAGGAATTTTGGTCGCTTCTTTTTTGAGATGATCAGCTTCACAATTCCGTAACTTTTTTCGCAATAAAGTAAGTCAAGAACTTCCGGCGACTGGATTAGAAGCGGAACTTCCCAAATCATATGAAATTTGTTTATTTTCTCAGACGGATAATCATTTTCCACAATTTCTTGGGCAATTTTATCAACAGTATCCCTGCTTTCTTCACGTTTTCCAGTAGGTCAAATAGGAATGAGAACTTCTACTTGTTCCTTAGTAAGTCCTAATTGTCGAAAACGCGTTTTGGCATTAAATCTTACCTTACAATCATCCTTCAAACTTTCATTAATTTCCTCTGTATATTTAGCTAGTTCGAGTGATAGAGTTTCAGAAGTCCATTTATGGCAATTCATGAAATCTGTAGCAACTTTTGCCATATTGTTTACGACAGTAGTCAAGAATATTAAAACATACTAATTTTATATTACGTATAAAAAGTTTAATTTGAAAAAATATTTCCGATAATTTACTACGTGATCTCTCTAGAACCCGTTTATGGTTGGTGAGATCAGATAAGCAAAAATAATAATATAACCTATGACCTAGTCAAAAGGGTATTTCATCGATTTGAAATCTGCAGATAGATATGATATGCGAAAAAAATATATAGTCATGGAATGGAATTCCATAGCTATAAACAAATTTTCCTATATTGTAATCCTGTCTTATTAAAGTATTTGCATTATAGCTAATATATATTCTAATCCTAAAATATTCGACTTAGTGAATGCATCATATAAAGCGTCCAGTTTATACTTCGAAAGGGTTAAATTCAGGTGATAAAAGAGTTTTATAAGCATGTCATTTCTTCAAGCTATTATCTTTTTATGCTCTCAAGTTATACCTATTAATGTAGACAAGCTATCACTGGAATAATTCATTTGGATTAAATTCTGAAGTGAGGATTGTTTATTTTTTCTAGAGTAAATAGACTCACTTCTCCCATTACAGTTGATTTTACACTAATAGGAAATCTTTTACAAATATCTAATCTACCAGCTAGGATAAATAAAAGCGAAATTAGGGCTGGGTGGTAAAAGTTGACTAAGATATCTAATTTGAATTTACCAATATCCATAGTCCTAATATTATCTAAATAATCCGAAAGCCTATTAGCATATCTGAAACCTTCTTGAATTAGCTTCTGGAATAACTTTCCATTTGGGTCGACTCATCGGCTGGTTAGTATATTGAGTACTGTTCTTTGCATTATGTCTATAACGTAAGTATGAAAAGATGGTTTATCTTATTATAATATCAATTAATTTAAATACTTGCTTTATTATAAAATTAAAAGTGAAAGAGGTTTTATATTCTAAAATACTTTAGCATCTTTGATCATGGTTCACTTTACTTGTGCATTTATCAAGAAGGATAACACTATTTGTGAAAATGAGTGCTGTAATCCCACCAGGTGTTATAGGTACTGAAAATTATATGAAAAAATATAGAAAAAAACCCTGCCTTGTTAGTGGTTGTCGTAAATATACTGTTTCTACTATGGGATGTTGTCCTGATCATTCAGATAGATTTTATTTGCTAAATTATCGGATGAGAAAGAAGTGAAGCTCTAATTTTGAGTCAGATAATAAGGATATGGGTTTAAGTCTATTTGGTTAGTAGTTAGCTCAAAATTCAGAGCACTAGGAATCCCTCTGAAATATCTGCCGGAAAGTAAGTAAAAAAATATTATTTCATTTATATCATTAAGTTAAATAGCATTATTTTTTAATATATAAATAAAGTGCATCAAGCATATTTCTGAAATAGAGTCTTCTTCGAAATTATTATATAAAAAATTGGAAGAAAGTCCCATTTCAAAATATGTATAACCTAATTCCGTAAATCCTAGTATTGTATTCATACTAGAGCTCCTAATGAGTCGAGTTGACTCACGAGTCAAATGAGTTGACTTGAGTTTGAGTCGAGTCGAGTCAAAAATTTTCCGACTCATTTGACTCGAGTTGAGTCATTAGTTGAGTCGAGTCAATAAATTGACTCGACTCATTTCAATTCAAGTTGACTCGAGTTGACTCACATGAATTGATATTACATGAATTATCATTTTGGAAATTTTGTGTAACTCATTTTCCAATTTTTCGATGGCCAAAAATTTCCTTTTTAGGAATTTGCATAACCATAT